GTTGCTGACATTTTTTCTTTTTTTTTTTCCTAGCGCGTCGTCCTAAATCCGCTTAAGTGTTAATTGGATAAAAACTAAAATTATTAGTTGCTACACCTCGTCATGTAGGTTGTAAGATTCAGTTGTAATTTCCTGTGATTATTTTCAGAGAGTAACTCGTGGTGGTATGCTGAAGATACATTGCTGGGGAAAAAAACAAATAAGGATTTGCCAGTTGTAAATTCTTGCTTTTTTTTTGTTTGTTTTTTTTTGTTTGTTTTACATTTAAATGTTTCAGATGATCAGACAAATATTAAAAACAAATATAACTTGAGTAAATGCAAAAAGCTACTAAAACTTTAACTTTATTAATGTTGACATTTAGCGTAGAAGAAGATTATACTTGAAAGAAAAGTAATTGTTTGTGGAGTAGATTCATTTTGAACAAATACTAGCTACACAAATTCCAAATTTGTAACAATTTACCTGCACTCTAGAAAATACTGGTTCTTTTGTTGTTTGTTGATTACATTTTTCTCTATTATTTTATAATATATCACTTTAAATTTACTGGTGTATCTGATAAAGATCTGTGAAATAAAATCTTTTTAAATCAGCATGCTTAGGCAAGTGTCTATCTACTTCCAAGTAACTATTAGTCAGTTTGTTGATTGGTGAAGACGCCAATTTACAAAAGAATTGAATGGCATGTTGTCTCGTCTTTCCCGGACATTTTCAAGTGTATAAAGTGTGAGTGTAAACCTTTTAGGGGTGTGTGGCCAGCAGCAGCAGCTCATTTGCATAAAAGGGAAACAGCTCATTCTGAAAGGAGCTCAAAACAGCCAGAAATGACCAGGAGAAATCCAGATATATGAGTATAGTGAAAATATATTAATCAGCATGTTTTTTTTTGTTGTTTTTTTACAGCCATAGACCTACCCTAACTTAATCAAGGAAGTATAGCAGGTCACCATTAGCAACAAATATCCAGTTGTTAAACTTTGGTCCTCATATTAGTAGACATATACGATTTGTGCTTGAATTTTTTTTTTTTTTTTTTTTTCGAATAATCAGGCCCATTTGGCCCATTTGGCCCATCTAGGTAAAGCGTTTTTCCTCGTCTTTGGTTTGACATGATTTTTCTCGGTACTGACTAAGTAGTTGCGGCATTATGCCACAAGCAGTTGATCTTCACCCCCCTTCCACCTCCTCACAAACAGATGTTGCCTAGAAGGCTTAGTGGGGAGCTTATATAAATTGTCCATCAATCAGAGGCAGTCTTCAGTGGAGCCACCAATCCTGTCATCATCAGTCTTACAGAGGACTCCTAGATGAAAGGATCCCAGCCTTATATTGCTCCATTAGAACTGTGTAAATATTACATGCTTTCCCTGGATGTGCTAGTTAGCATTACTTCCACCTTGTGGCTTCATTATTTTTGAAACACTCAGCTTTGTCGATGATTGCGAGGCATGACCCAGTTTTGTGACTCGCTAGCTCTCTTTTTTTTTTCCCTTTTCACTTCTCTTGCTCATTTTCCTCATTCTCATTTCCCTCTCACACTGAATTTGTCCTTTTTGTCATTTATTCATCGTGTCTCTCCACTTACTGCCTCTGCATTGCCTTCATTCTTTCAGCTTGCATCTGTGTTACTCTCATCCTCTCTCCCTCTCATCTATGCATTCTTTATTTCACATTTGTCTCTCTTCCACAGCCTATTATTATTTTTTTCTCTGTCTGTCCCCCCCTCCCTCCCCCACCCGTCCCTCTCCCCGTTCTCCTCTTCTTCCTCTACCCTTCTTCTTCATCTTTTTTCATTTCTCTCCACCAGCACCACGTGTGTCACGGATTGAAACATCGCAAGCAGTGGTCCCTGCTGAACAATTACCATGCAAAGCAATCCAAATAGAGATGTTTGCCGAAAACAACATGTGTGTAATTACTGCTTAATGAGGCCCTTGTCTCAGGCAGAATGCCCAATTAAGCTGCCGATGAGAAAGCGATGCCAAGCCCCGCTGAAGAAAAAGAGACGAGTGAAGGGAAAAAAAAGAGGGGGTCGGGAGGGGGGGGGATATGGGGTGTGTGATGGAGAAGTACAACTGGGAAGGTTGTAGCGCAGAGAGAAAGGTGGAGACAATGGGAACATAGCGACAAAGAGTGAAAAGTGAGGGATAAGACAGTAAGACAGTGAAAGAAAGATGGAAATAAGTGGAACACCACAAAAAAAAGGGAAAGAGTAAAAGATATTCCCCAGCCCACATGGAGTAATGGCTGAGCTGATAGCACTGAGCCAGCAGTAAATTGGCATTTTAAATGGAAGAGTGAGAAAGTGCAAAGCAGCATTGTTCAGAGAAAGGAGCATAAGGGAAAGGGCTTTACATTGCAATATATAAGCAGCCATGTTGAAGCACAAAATGGCTGACCTTTTCCGGGGCTGTTTTGGCCTTTCCGACAATCGCCGCATTGCCTGGTGTCGGCGACGAAATTGATCATCCTCCCCGGTTCATTTCCTCCCTTTGAGCACCCAAAGAATTCACTTTGCAAGAATTAACTCCAACGAAAGCTCCGCCGGGCGTTGAGGGGGTTAAAAACGACATTGTTCGGCCACTCTCTTTCAATCGCTTTCCACCCGAGAGAATCTTTAACAGGCCCTCTAAGTGGCTTTGCGTCATATTAAAGTAGAGTTTAATGGAATAAAATGGCTCAGTTAGAAGAGAACAAGCGGCCTGTCGTGTGAGGGGGGGTAGGGGGAAGAGTTTATTGCAGATATGTGAGCCGGGTCAAGATTGTTTGACCCTCTCTCTGCAGGTTAGTCAGATGATAAACACTCCCGTGCTTGATTAAGCAGTCGGCTGGATCTGCGGCACAATTAGTCAGCATTCAGCTTCAGCAAACACAGGGCGCTCGCTCACTGCGTTCAGATTGATTCCTCTGAATGGGAGTGTGGCTTAAGTGTGACTTGCACGCAGCCCCTGACTCGATTTCATGTTTGCATATGTAGATGAATGTAAATGTAATCATTAAATTAGTCATGTGAATCCTCACTTGGGCCTTTTTTTTAATGCATGTGTCGTTAACCAATCATCGCCGCAAGGCAAGTCCTCGTCCTACCCAAGCTTTCATCTGCAGTGACGTACAGTAATTTCTCTTTCTCACCACTCACATGCTCGTTCACCTACTTCAGCCCTTTCCTGCCTTCCAGCATAGATATTAGATTTCCCCTCCCCGAAGGAATTCAGCTCATTTCCGTCCATTAGGCTACCTATTTGGCTATTGTTTTGAGCAGGTACATCTTACGATCCATTTGTATGCTCTCCTATCCGGCGTTTGTTTACCTTTCAGGCCTTCGGTAACTTTCTCCTTAGCACAAAGCGGACCACCGGCAAAATGAGAAGGGCCCCTCCGTATATTTAAATCTGAGGAATGTGACATGGAAGGCCGTCTGGTTTGATCGTGTTTCTGCTTCTGTCAGTTTACGAGTTTCTTTTTAGGCCTTGACATTGAAAGGACTGACTACAGTCAACAAATAGAGATGTTGACTGTATTTGACAAGCTTAATTTTTGCGGGTTTTCACAGTTCCAGACAGAGGTCTAAATAGATCCAAGATGTGCATGAAAGCATTCATTTGGGTATTTTATTGACGCTTGTGAACCATTCTTTAGTATTAGTTGATGACCCGTCTGATAGATAGCCTGCGGTTTCTTTGCTTTCATATTGTTGAGGCTCTTCTCCAATCCACAGTCAAAGTTGTGCCTACAGACTGAAATCCTACCCCACCACTAATAATAACTGTCCCTCAATGTGTTTGAAGGAAACCACAAACTTTCGGTTGCCATCAGTAAGATCCTGGCATAATTTTGGCTACATGCACCATTCATCTTTTCAGAAATGGAGGAGCTCTTTTAATTTGATTGACTCGTTTTTAAGCACACGCTTTAAGTCTCCAGTATGATTGAGGTTATGGCAATTACAGCAGGTCGATGTTAATCTGCTGTATCTGTTCTAAAACCAGCATTGACGTATGATTAGGATCTTTGCCCAGATTGCAACCGTCTTGCCGTCGAGTTGAGTTAAAGGTAGTTCACCTTTCTCCATTATGCCCACCATTTTCTGTACTTATAGGAGTGAAACACACCCACAGCATGATGCGACTACCACCATGCCTTACTGCTGGTTCTGAGTAGTTATATTGAAAGCCTCACTTGTGTTCTCTTTGTTCCCAAGCGGTTCAGTCCTTGTCTTATTTGCCCACAGAAGTATCTGCTGCAAAGTTCAGCCGGCCTTTTCTGTGTTGATTTTATTTCTTAAAAAAAAAAAAAAAAGGTCTGTTTACTTGTTTTCTCTCCAGCAATTGTGACACATTTCAAACTAATCTCTTTTCCAGCGATTTAGTTCGGTAGAGAGAGCAGAGCTAGCATGGTGCACTCTGCTGTTGACCCTGTGTTGTTTCGCTGCACCCTCGCCGGTCGGGAGTCATTTGTTGTTACTCGAGCCCTAACCCCATGTCAAGGAGTGTTTTGGCACCTGCAGCAAGTGATCCTTCATTGCCTGATTAGCTCCAGTTAGAAGACGCAGCATGCCTTCACTTCACAGCGCGTGCACACACACACACACGCACACACGCACACGCGCACACACACAAAACACACCCTCGAAGACAGCAAGCGCACACTTCCTAACTGGATGCAGTCATAGATTCATTCACACTCGTTCTCTTTTCTCACACACGCAGCAGAGCCTACAGGGAAAAGCCCATCTCTCGTCACCACGCTCATGTAGCCTAATTACCGGCCCGCTGACGAACAGTAATTGCCCGTGCTGCCATGCCACCACGAGGTTTAACCAAAGTGACAAAGTCATTAGTCTCACACTTGAGGCCACCCGTAAAGAGCTTTAGAGCTTTTCCTCTTTGTACCTCCTCCCCAGGCACCCATCATCTTTTTTTATTTATTTTTTTATTTTTTCCCCAAATCTCGTCTCGCATATGATGTTTATTTATCCTTTGTGTTTCTGTTCACAGTTTGATGCTGACAACATGTATATGAATGACAGCAACCAAGAGTTTCGGTCGCCAAATCAGGTAAGACAGCCCACGTGTTTCACACTTTCTGATTTTACTTTAGATTTTATTGGGATTTAACACTAAAGGATTTTGATTTTCCTTTGTTCTGATTCAGCAAAATCCAAATGTCTTCGAAGGTCGCCTGTGTGTAATTTATTTTCAGTATAAATGTGTTCTTTGAAGGCCTCAGAGATTTTTTTGGAGAACATTACAGAATAAACAGTAACATGAAGATCAAGGAACAGACAAAGTTGCTTTTTAATTTCAAACCTTAAGCATCTCACAGAGCACTGGCCATCCAGCAGGCCTGTCCACCTAAACTGACAGGGAAGCATCCTCCACAAAATATTCACATTTTGATTATTTTTATCCAAAGCACATTTTCCTAAACATAAAATAATTTATCCAAATGGACCTGTCATTACCGGTGACAGGTCCCACCAAAGTCACAGTGCAAATGTTGACCATTCTGAGATTATTCAGGCCCTGGCACTGTTTCAGTCCCATGGTCAGTGATTTAGACACAGCCACCGCTCTGAGTGCTCCCAGCTGGTAGATGGGAACACATGGCAGGACATATGGCAGAATTTGGACCTCAAAGATTTGTTGATCCAGCGGCTCGGCCTTCTTGTTCCGACAAAGCACGACAAAGGTGGGGCCGTCGTGTCAATTAGCGCCTTGCCAAATAACTCAAAGCGGCAGCGGACGAAGCCCCCAGGGCCAAGGACAGCGCGACCCGCGCACGCAGCGACTATCTGTTTCTCACAAACACACAAGTACAGTAATAGGAAGTGACATAATCTGAGAGACAAAGAGCATTTTTACTCTCGGTGATGGATTCTCTCACCATGATGCTTAATGCGACTGTCCAGTTCGTCGACACTGAAACAAACATGTTCTCTGACTTTCTCTCTGTGTGCGTTGCGATTTTGAGATAAACATCTCAGTCATTGCAACTGTAACTACAGAGAAGTTTTTTCTGTAAATGTACCCTGTATCAAAGCCAGGGCAATATGTAAGAATTAAAAACGCAGCAGCATGGACTCATACCAAAAGCTAATAGGTTTTTCTGACCATGGCTCACCTCTACACCCATTGCTTTTGCGGAAGACTGAGTGCTGCAATAAATGCGGAGACAAGATTTATTAAAAAACTTCCTGCGATCAGCTCTTTGAACAATCTCACTCGAGAAGCCCTCCACCCTTCTTTTTCCTCCTTTTTTCTTTAAATTTGTGTGACTAGCCCATTAAAAGGAATTTAATTGCAACCGTAACTCGGAAAGTGCTTTCAAACAAGCCTTTGAAGACGTTGGGAGCAGCCAAAATGTCCTCACTGTACAAAAATGTGCTTATTCACATGATGTAAAATTTAAGTTAGACCCTGCAAAAAAACAGACGAACAAAAAGCACATGGATGTGGGCCTCACCGCAAACACATAAACACTCATAAACCTCCACCGACTAAGACACACACTTACACACACGCACAGTCAAAAAGAGAGTTCAATAAACACGCACATGTGCTTTCATCCTATAGGATTGTATATTTCTTTGATGTTGGGATTGCGGGACTTTAACGATGGGTCGAGTGGGGAGCTCCAGCAGCTTATTGTCTGCTTACAGCTCACATCACAAGACCATAAAGTCAGTTGTTGTTTGCCACATTTCCTCGTCTGCCCCAATTATGTCACCGCTCGCGCATACGTGTGCGTGCTAATTGGGATAAATGTCCAGCTTTGTAGTTCTGCTGGCGCTGCGGTCATGCGTCAATCACCAGCGCCCACTCCAGGTTTGCAGTGTTGTGTCAACAAATACCTTCTTAGTGGATAAGGCAATTTGGGCTTTTCAAAACATGTCAGCTGCAGTTGATGCTCTGTCAGCGCTGTCAAATAGGAGCTTACACACAAAACCTGGGAAACACAGAGTTCATTGTTGGGCGTCTCCATCCTTCAACAGAGCGCCTTTAATTTCAAATTTTATAGCAGGATAGAGTCGCACCCTCATCGGTGTAATACTAATAATATTTTTAAAATTTTGCAGAAACATTTTCCAGCCCGAATTAGTTGATTTTTCTCCTCTTTCTGACTATCTTAATGTGCTACGATGCTCAGCTTCTGAGAAAATAAACAGAAGTAAAAGGCTCTCAAGGGGGGAACCCTAAACATCGCTCTGCCCAGCGACTCTCTCCGGCTCATTCTGGGGCATCCCAAGGCTTTCAGCAGCAAAAACAGATAGAGTCACTTCACTGAGTGTCCTCCCGATGGGACCTCAAAGGGAAGGCATCAGGAAGGCGTCCAAACTTAGCTGACCTGGTTTTGATCTGAAAGACCTGTGGTTCTACTCGGAGCTCACTCGCATGTGTTAGAACATAGATAAACCAGACATTTCACACCTTTTTCTTTGCGGTTCAGCTGCTTCTTTACCATGATGCCAGTTCCCACGTTGCAGCAGATAAACTGCAATGGGTGACACTGGCAGGAGTTCACCCTGTCATCAGTGGGTTGCTGGGTTGAGAACCTGCTCTTACACTTCGTCCAACCACACTTTCCACTTAATGCGTAGAGCAAAAAATAAAGTCTCATTCCAAAACCTAGTGACTTGGTTGAAAAACATTTCGAGAGCTTCTTTCTAACTACAAAACAACATTTGGGCCAAGAATGATGGCGCTGGTCTTGCTTTGGTCATTTACAGGGAAGATGCCACACTGTGCAACACCCAGTTCTCTCCTCCTTCCCAACACCCTGGAGTTAGTTTTCTCTTGCAAAGCTAACTTAGTTTGAAGTGTGACAAATAAATAACTTCACCTTTTTTTTCTTCCAAATTTAGAGCCATGGCTCTCGCCTGCCACTCCACAGCTGCAACACACTAGTTATGCCCCAGAATGATCCGAATGGTTGAACAAGCGATGTGTTCAAACACAGTTCATGCATATAATATGTGCGTTTTCTCTATGCTTCATATATAATGTTAGCATTTGCTGTGATATAATTCAGTTGTTTTTGATTGCATGTATTAAATGTTCAGTGGTTTGTTATGGAGATCCAGGATCCTCTAATCTAGTCTCCCCTCCCCATGTTTTTTTTTTTTTTTTTTCATGACTTTTTTTTTTCTTACACTGTGGTAAAAAAAAAAAAAAAAAAACCTTTATTCTTTAGCTTATAGGGCAATGCTCACAATTACTGTACCTCTGCACAGGTCAAGCATATTTTTGAACGAAAGTGGCCATATGCTTTATCGCATATTTTAACAGTGTGGTCAGATACCGAGCCGAGGCCGTACATGATGTGTGCCTGTGAAAACGGTGCATGCAGCCAGAACAGAGACTCCTTTGTTTGCATGTCTGGGGTCTTCTACAGCAAATGCAATGAGGTAGCAGTCTGACACAGCCAGAAGATTACATTACACATAACATCTCTAGGCTTTTAAAAAAGAGCAAACCGCTAATCAGAAACAGCCTTAAAGGGGCTGTTCGCTGTATGCTTGAATGCAGCCCATCCATTCAAACAAGATGGGCTTTTTTTTCTTTTCTCCTTGCTTAAAATATTGCATGTTTTCTTTAGAAAACATCCATGCGAGCTGCGCATATGGAGCTGTGGGGCAGTGTGATGATGCTAATGTTGTTACATTTTGTTCATCTGTTAAGAGTTTCAAAATATAAGCAAATGTGTGGGATTTTTCTTTGACCAGCTTTGTTTGTATCGCCCACTCACAAAGCTACGAAGGGACAGTTTGTTGAAATAAAGATTATTAAATGCCTCATTTATCCCGATGGAATGGAAATAAGCACTACAGAATTGCAAATCTCTCTGACTGACTAGCTGCAGATTTGATTAGATTAATGGCGGGGGAGTGGGAGGGGTCATCATTACCTCGAAATCACTTTTTAATCGGAATATACTTCCTTCTCAATCTAGATCAGCTAAAAAAGGATTAAAAAAAAATACGCGCCAGGCTCATCATTCTTTACAGAATGCGAAACGTAAACACTTTCCTGATTGGAATTTGCGAACATTTATTCAGACTCAATAAGAAAGTGAAGAAACTGGCAGTGTGCTCATTATCAACCCGTCGCAGGGATAAATGTGAAATAAGGCGGACCGCCGTTTATATTTCTGCAGCGCGGTTATAGCTCCGTGAGAATGATTGGTGTTCCTCCAACCACGCCAACACAAATTCTAATTTTGTTTAATAGGCAATGAGTGCCCTTCATTGGCTTTCATATCAGGCTCGATTAGTTTGAGTGGTTGAGCAGACTTGTTCCTCGATGTATATTTCTGGATTTTTTTTTTTTTGGCTGGCCTCTCCTTTCGCTCCGCAGTGTAATTAGTCCTCATGGACTCATGTGCCTTCATAGGTAAGCAACAGGCTTAGACAAGGAGAGAATATTTGGATTAAATGAAGCAACTTAGTGGTGGATGTTTAGGTAATAAGACAGACCACTAGATGTGCTAAAATGTGTCATTTTCTTGTTGCTCTTTGCAGGGTTTTGCAATTGTTCAACTTTGTCACATTCTATTTTGTGTCACAATTGTATTCATGTCTTGTCTTTGGGTCATTTTAACGTGAGAATATCTTTTACTCTGACTGTATTTTGTTGTCCTGCTTAAAGATGAAACTTCTGCAGCCTATAACAGATCTCCTTTCAGAACCCCCCCCCCTCCCCTTTATTCACCTGCTCTGCTCAGCTTCCCTAGACCTGTTTTCCCCTATAGATAGTAGACCAGAAACTGTGTTTTAGTCTCATTTGACCAGACCGCTCTGTTCTGTATGCTTGCCGTCTCCCCTACATGACTTCTTGTGGCTTTTTGTCAACAGCTTGTTTCGTTAATTTTTTTTTTTTTTTTTGTCTAGGCCAGATTTGTAAAGTGCAGAACTAGCTTTCATGCCAACAGATTTCATCTCCTGAGTTTTGGACGTCTGCAGCTCCTCAAGCGCTCGTCATGCTTTACGCCCTCATTTCCAGGTGTATCAATTTAAAGTTAGTTTTGATAGTTTTACAGTTGTACTGTTTTTTGAGTT